CAGAAGGCTGTGGTTTCCACTGTTTGTTTACAGCTAGCACCGCAAATCTTCACTGTCCTGGCTGCGCCTGCACATTACACCCCCGCAGACTCTTTGGGAGCATCTCAAGCCTCAGGACAGAGCCCCATATAAGCCTATACTGTATATATAAACAAACAGTGGAACCATGGGCATTGGATCAAAGTAAGAAAAGATGCTTGCACTTGTTTCAGTGTGATTTATCTGCGGTAAGTAGCCTATTCAAATGAATGGGCTGCCCTACTACAGTGACCATAACGCACCCCATGCACTGGCGGGAACTACTAGGGTCGCAATTGCGACCGGGCCCTGGCGTTCTGCCACTTGGGGGGCCCAGCAAGGAAGAAGAGGGCCCCCCCGCGATCGTGCCGCTCCTTCCCTGCCGCACAGCCACCCGCAGCATGTACGGGCGGCTGTGCGAAAGGTCTGGAGAGGCTGTCACTGGTCCCGGAGAATGAGCTGGCCCCGCCTCTTAGGGCAGAGCTAAGAGGACGTCTCCTCTTAGCTCCGCCCCCTGGTCGCCGAGACGAGGAAGAGGGCCATGGGCCTGCAGGAGAGGGAAGGTAAGTCTGGAGTGGGAGGGGGCGCGGGGAAGAGAGAGTGTGTGTGTGTGTTGCTGGGACTTGTAGTCCAGCATAGCTGGTGGTATTCTGCATTGCTGTATGATGATTATACAGCAATGCAGAATAGCACCAACTATGTAGGACTACAAGTCCCAGCAATGCATTATAGTGGGGGGGGGGATGCTGGTGGTATTTTGCATACCTTACTTTTATTATAATGTATTGCTGATACTTGTAGTCCCGCATAGCTGGTGGTATTCTGCATTGCTGTATGATGATTATATAGCAATGCAGAATTGCACCAACTATGTAGGACTACAAGTCCCAGCAATGCATTATATTTTTAAGTAGGGATACACCAGTGTTAATACTGGGCATTTTCACAAGTACTCATACTCGTGAAAATGCCCCGATACTAAACGCAGATACCGGTGTTCTGTCGAGAACGCCGACGTAGTCGAATTTGCCAACCTCAGCATCTGCGCTTACACACAGACCAATATTATCGAGGAAACCGGGATTTATTCACAAAGTATTTTGTTTAAATCGTTAATTGTGACCTTTAATAATAGCCCGTCCATAATTTCCTGCCATCCATGATCTACTGCCATGGACGCCATATTATTAACGGTCACAATTAACAATTACAAACGAATACTTTGTAAATAAATGGCGGTTGCACTTCATGGTTTCTTGCACTGGGGCCCTGAAGGCTCTAGTTACACCACTGACCCCATGGCACCTCTGCAACGTTGCATCGCAGAGGTGTAAGTGAGGCTTATTCTGGAATATTAAGTTGGATGCAAAAATAATGAACTCTACTGTTTAGCATTGAGGAATAATATTGGCTGGAAACCCATCCTAGAGCTCAGGCATTGTATTTATCAATGTGCAGAACTGTTTTTGGTCAGCAGATATATTACAGCTTGGCTTCTGGCGTATTTAATACATCACTTCTGGAATACTAATAAGCAATAGGAAGTTTTCTAAATGTAAGTTCTGGCTGTTTCTGCCTAGTTATTTATATTTAAAAGGGAACATGCTGGAGAAATAATAAAGAGAATGCTCTGGTATGTAAGACCAATCCCTCTCTGTTGTATTTTCCTAACGACAATGGTTGAGATGGAAGCTGGCATGACTTCAGGTTCAGTAAAGTCTAGGGGCCAGAGAGACAATAGGGTTGAATTACTAAAGACATATAGGCCCTTTTCACTTAGCAAGGTGAATGTTCACTTTGCAAGGGAAGTTTCCATTAGCTTAGTGAATGAGGTGAAGTTCGATTGAATTCCATCATCCAATCATGTGCAAGCAAAAATAGTGTTTATTTAAGTTTCCATGCACCTGATTGGGTATTCTTTGAATATCGACTGTTCACCACATTTAATAAGCTAAGTGAAAATTCACTTTGGAACGTGAACATGCTCTGCTCCTTCAGTAAATTAACCCCATTACATATTTGCTACATTTAATTTGGCTGTTCCTGGCCCAGGAATGATAGAAATTAGATAGACAAGGAAGGAAAAAAGAAGACAAAAAGATAAACTGGCAAAACTGAACCACAGAGATTGAGCCGACCCTTTTAGCTGCCTATACGTGTTACAATTTGATTTTACAATGTCTGTACAATTTATCTTACGGCCGGTGCACACCTACGCGTCGGGCGCATTGCGCAGTTTTCCACTGCGATTCCGCCTGTGCTTCTAAAACAGCCGCGTGTCGTGTATAGCAGAAAAAAGGTAGTTGTACTTTTTTTTCTGCGATAAACGACGTGCTGCTGTTTTAGCCGCTGTTGTGTTCAGAAGCACGGGCGGAATCGTGGCAGGAAACCACGCGAGCCGCCCGGTGCGACTGGTGTGCCATTTGAAAATAATGGCACCCACAGTCCAATCGGTGCAAACCTTTACAACTCCTGCCTGCGCGGCAATCCGCTCGGAATCATGCACGATTGCCGCGCGGTGAGGTGTCGCATAGGTGTGCACCGGCCCTTAGATTTACCAAACCTATGTAATGCGAGGGTTTACCTAAGCAATCAATCAGTTTATATAGAATCAGGCTGGTTCTGGTAGAGCAAGAGGAGATTGTACAGTCAGCTGTATGGTCAGATCATACATGTAACACAAGGTAGGCAACTTCGACACTCCAGCTGTTATAGAACTACAAGTCGCATGAGGCATTGCAAGACTCTGACAGTCATAGACATGACTTCCAGAGACAGTGGTATGATTAGATGTGTAGTTTCAACACAGCACAGCTGGACTGCCAAGGTTGCCTACCCTTGATTTAACATGTATGATCACCTTTACATGGAGGTCAAAAAGAGTAACTAAAGAAAGTATCCAGCAAATGCCGCACTCCATCCACGGAGGTTTCACAGAAAGTCTTTATTTTAATATAAAGGAATGCATTACACACTGATCAAAATCCCTACACCGATCCTCAGCCTCTCACCCATTTCCAGTTGGACTTAATCATAGAGATCTGAGGATCGGTTTGGGGATTTGGATCAGTGTGTATTGTTCCTATTGTTAAAGATTTGAATTTCAGTGGAACTTCTATGGAGTGCTGTGTTTGTTGGATCCTTGCAGCTTGGAACATTGGCACGTTTGTAGTGTTTGCTTGCTTTGGATTACAAGTAACTAAAGAAAGTTACTGTAGATTGAAAAGTGTGCATCATCAAAAATGTATTTGAAATACCTAAGTATTGTTTGTACCTAAAATGGCCATGCACCATGCTGTATCTCTGGAAGAATATGTACTTTTCAGGTGTTCTTTGTGTTTATAAATGACATCCAGACTGTCAGGGATTGGAATTGTGCCCACTGTGCGCTCTTTGTGGTTTTGTGCAACAAATGTGCTTTGTGGTGGCAGCTTTCAATGCAGACAGACTCTTGATTCAAATAAATGTGCGTCATTTCATTCCCAGATCCATTTGTAAAGGTGTACCTGCTGCAAGAAGGCAGGAAGATCAGCAAGAAAAAGACCGCAGTGAAACGGGACGACAGAAACCCGGTCTTTAATGAAGCCATGATTTTCTCTGTACCAGCCATAGTACTGCAGGTGAGTCATCACAATCATACGTAAAAGGCTGCCCTCCTCCTAACCGGATCCTCAGAATAGCAGCTCCCAGGGAGCCCGAGATTGAAAATGTGGCTGCGAATACATTGTGCTATTTTTCAATGTAACATTTGTATTCCTGGCTTATTGTGACTGTAGCTCATGCTGAAACTTCATGACATAGGCAGATAAATATATTAAATTACATGTATAAGAACAGCAGGATAATACAGTTAACCATTTAATGCATATCCACTATCTGACCCCGATTTCTATTTTAGGGATAGTTTTCTTAGAATTCTGCTGCCACCATCGTCACCAAAGTTTAATGGAAGAACATTTTGCTTTATAGATTTAAAGGGAAACTTTGATCTTCAGTTTTTAGTAAATATATTAATGTCAAAAGACAAACCAACCATTCAAAGGGTCATCCTTCAGTTTAATATTCTGCCTCTGCTGTGCACAGCTGGAGCTCCCCGAAGTTCTGGCATTCTGATTGTAGTACTTGCATTGGCACTACCCCTGACTAATGTGTGCCATTGATCTGGCTTGGCAATGACAGATCTCCATGGCACTGATCACTGCATTGCAGAGGTGATCAATTGTGACACTAAATGCATGGCCTGCATATTATGTTGCCTGCAATCTCTTAGCCTCTATGGTGGCCATAGACATTAGATGACAGAAAACGTCTGGATCTGTTAAAAATCTATGGGTCACACCTGCCAAGCACTGAACAGCCAATCTCAAGGTGGCAGAGACATTAGACATGATTTTCCAGACGAATATATTTCCTAAACTAAGTGGCACCATTTTTTGTGTGCATTTTCTTTCTCCATTGCCCAACCATAAAGCATTCCTGCTTAGGATAGAAGCTGATCTGTTTTTGACTACATTGTTGACCTCCTTAGCTACTCTTCCATTACAGTTATGATCAGAAGAACTAAGTATTAGTTAGGCTCAGTAGTTAGAATCAGGCAGACACAGCTGGCTCTATGACGGTATACAGTATATAAGGGCTCCTAAAATATGGGGCCCTCTTCATTACATGTGACTGGATATTCAGGCACCTGAAGATGCCTTTACTACACAGTAACTGAGTGTTTGATAGTATATACATCCAGAAGTTTGCTTTAAAGTAGTCCCATTATTGACAACTGTACCACTGAAAAATTAAACAAACTGCTGCACACTAAATCCTTTCACAGAAATCTGATAGAGTTTCCGGAAAGGCATTTGCATGCATTTTATCCTAAATTGTTTGTTCATATGCTATGTTTGGCTGAATAAAACAATATGGAGATAGATAGTATTGGGCCCCATAGTTATGCCCCTGGGAAGTATTCACTTTTGTGATATTAGTCCAGTGAACTGATTGCCAGGGTGCACTATGTTCTATCCCAGGTCCTGTTGCTATTTGCTGTCTGCGAGTGAGTCAGGGAGAAACTCCATCTTAAGATTGTAGGAACCTTCTGACAAACAGACCAGAGGGCAGACTGCAGCAAACTTGGAAGATACATTGTTTGAAAACTAGATCTTTTGGACACCAAATTGCCAGCATGAGAGCACATCTCTATATCATCTGTAGAAGCTAATCCATAAACATGCTATAGACATTAAAAAAGGTCATCACTCAGACTGACAGGAAATGGTTTGGTGTTTGTAGGGATACTCTTTGATTTCTCAAGACACTCCTAGCTGTCTGTTTTAGGGGTTAGAATCTGTTGGCTAGATTGGATGTTCTAGTGCATTGCAATTGCTGCCAATATCAGCTGGCCCTAGTACAGTGTTATTTCGGTTCACGAATGCTTCTGTTTGCGAACAATTCGGTTCGCAAACAGGAAGTTCGGCAAAATTTTGCTTTAGTTTGCAAACTCTGCATCGGGTGACGAACACAACCGCAGCCATCTTCCCCGCTCTGACACATGGTCGTGGCTTTCTCTAGTCGAGATCATCTCTGCATTGGTGTCGACACTGTCCTTCCTTCTTGAGGGTGGCTACTTTTGTTACCATGGTCCCTGTGTGTGTTGTAAAGTAGCCACTGCTTCAAGCTCACTCCTTCAATGGACTACAATCTTACTTCAAATGAGTAAACTAAACGTGAGATTACAACACACACAGGGACCATGGGGAACAAAAGTAGCCCCCCTCCAGAAGGAAGGACAGTGTCGGCACAAATTCAGAGATGATTTGAGGATCTACAGCCGAGTGATACACAAATAAGATACAGTTTTGTTAATAGTTAAGTTACTTGAATGTATTTTTAAGATTTAACGCCTGAGTTTAGTGTCACTTTAAGTTTATTGGCTTTCAAAAAATATGAACCATAGAATCCTCCTATGATATGCAGAGTGTGATCTGCCCCCTGCAGCCTTTCACAGTAAATTTTGCCAAGTCAAGATTTTTTTTACTTTAGCCTCCTAAAGGAGTAATATTTAATATCATGCCGTCCTTAATGCTCTGGAAGTGTTTTATAGCATGATTATTTATTTGCTTTTAAAATTACTGAAAATAATATAATGATCCTGAAGAAACCCTAAAATGAATCAAATTACAGCTGGGTAGTCTTTCACTTAATTTCATTTAAGGGAAATGACTAAGCCCTTTATTTTATTATTCAACCATCTGCTAGAGAAGAAACAATTACTTGTTCTTTTAAGAGTACCAGTCCAGTTTACCGCTAGACCGCTGTCTCTCAGGCTCCAGTCTTTTCTTAAGAAATATCTACTTGGACTTTGATTGAATGAAATGGCTATTCTGAATACTAGATAGCAGATAGCTTGTTCCCAAAGGCATTTTTAGCATGTAGAAATGTTCCCTTTATTAAATTTTTTTTTTTAATCAGGCAAACTGTGGGATCCTGCAGTTTCGGAAGTGTGACCAATTCGCTGAGTACTCAGTGTCAGTTTGTGCTAGTGTCACACACCTAAAATGGCCATGTATGCAAAGGTTAGATGCTCAACCCAGTCCTAGATGCTTAGTATAAGATGCCCAGCCTGGGTGGCCTGAGCTTTATCAGTTTTGTAAAAAGTTAGAGAAGGAAAGTCCAAAGTTTTTAGCGCTCTCTGGGGGGATATGGGTTTGTTGCGTGGGGGTGTGGCTCCTATTAAGTAGAGGCCGGGGTTTCCAACATGTGTACAGTGGAAACAAAAAGGAGAGACAGAAGCACAATTACCTAGCGCAGTGATTTGGGTGTGATTGGACAAGGAGTATAGAAGTATGGACAGTCTTATACTAACTTCTGGGGGGTTGGACATTGGCCCCAATTATGGATGCGTCGTTAGGCTTGTGATGCTGTTGCGTGGAAGTGCTTTGTTGTTCCGCTGTGGTGGTGGCGTTTGGAAACCAAGTAGGAAATTATAATAACAGCAAGAGTAAGAATTCTGGGAAGTTGGTAAAACAATTTGTTTTACCAACATCCCATAACTCCTATTCTCCTTGCTCAATCACACCCAAATCACTGTGCTAGGTAGTTGGGCTTCGCTCTCTCTCCTTTTTGTTTCCATTTTATCAGTTTTGGCCTACTCATATGACTAACTCTGTATGATCCATTTGTTCTGATGCTCATCTTCCAGAATGATATCCAAGAGCATAGCAAATAGAAGTGGGTTAAATCCCTATACATGTTAATTATCAGCATACTAGCAGGGTTATTCACAAGAGGGTGAAGAGTTTGGAGAAGGCAGGAGAAGTGAACAATCTAGGACAACATAGCTGAATTTTAGAGTTAGTTTAATTGGAGATTTTTTTCCAAATCAGCTATTATGTCCGAGCTTGTTCACGTCTCCAAATTCTTCACCCTTTTGTGAATAACCCTGTTGGTTTAAAAGAACCTTTGATAATAATTTTCACGAGTATTGGAACCGTTAGATGCCTGATTGCATAAGCTCTAAATGCCCATTAGCAGAAGCCCCAATATCCAAACAGCAACCAGAATCACCCCATTCCTCCAAGCAGTTCAAAACCGGTGTAATTGCAGGTTGCCAAATGCTGTGGCATGATATATCGACTTTGTCTTTCTAGGACCTGTCTCTAAGGGTGACAGCGGCAGAATGCTGTGATGATGGCAGAACAGAAAATACTGGACATGTGATCATCGGACCAACAGTCAGTGGGATGGGCATGACCCACTGGAACCAGATGTTAGCCACCTTAAGAAAGCCAGTGTCTATGTGGCATCAGCTACGACGAAACTAACTGCAAAGTCACATCAGGATAAGAAGAATGTTGGTAATGATATTTAATGTTTTGAACCCAAACAGCAAAGCATAAACTTCTCATGACTCTCTGTGAACATATTCCTGTACAAAAATGATCTGTGTAAATAACTTGCATGAGATTTCTTTCATAATATTTCAGGCTGTAAATTTTGCGAAGATTTTATTATTAGTTTTGTGATTTTTCTGTTTCCGACATAATTTTAATTCAGGCTGTATATTGCTGAAAGAATTGCTAACGCTTACAGACTTATCAGTGTTTGCTTTGCTACACTAGCTACTCTACTGACAATTAGGAAACAATTATATTTTACTGACAGAGAGTATATTTCAATATTTAGAGGATCGTAAAAAAAATAAATTGGGGGTTAGCTTGTTATTATGTGACAGCTACCTCTAGCCAAAGCCATAACTGTATTACCACAGGAGTATTAATGCTAACCTTCTAAATGTAGGCAAATATTTAAATGTTTTAAATCTTAAAGCAAAACTACATCTTTCATCATGAACAACAGAAAGACCAACAGGAGTATAATGTTTATATATTCTCATAATGTTATGATTCACCTCTGTTAATAAATCATGTAACTGAGATTTGAAATCCAGCATCTTGGTGGGTGGGACATCAGAATAGAAATCCAGCACCTCATGGGTGAGACATCAGAATAGAAATCCAGCATCTTGTGGGTGGGACATCAGAATAGAAATCCAGCATCTTGTGGGAGGGACATCAGAATAGAAATCCAGTATCTTGTGGGAGGGACATCAGAATAGAAATCCAGCATCTTGTGGGTGGGACATCAGAATAGAAATCCAGCATCTTGTGGGTGGAATATCGGAACTGAAATCCAGCACCTCGTTGGGTTGGACATCGATTCCATTGCCAAAGCAAGCACTCTACAGCTGTTTAAAACATGCTTCAAGTCATGCTGATCTCAGTGTGCACTTTGCTGGCAAAGACTACATCTCTTTCCCGAGGCCACCCTTTGCTGTTTTGTGCACTCTGCTAAGCTGCACAGATATGTGGAGTGTACAAATATATGGAAAGTGTTGACTTTATTTTTTTTATAGGTTAATGATGTATTTTTTAAAATCAATATGTATCTAATAAAGCGATAACTTGAGCTAGAGGTGCGGTTAGTTGTCTGATGGGATTTAATTTTGTATGTAAAGTATATGATGTCCCTGACCTGCATGTTAGGGTGGTCCAGCTCCAATTAATTTTGTAGTGTAGAGATACAGTATATGGAATGATTTGGGTTTTGTGCTGTTTACACTGGACAATTTGACTGTAAAAAGCACCATATGTATTTGATGTCCCTGTTGTACTCTGTTGAAATGATGTATAATAGAGAAGCACCGGTATGCTTCCATTTCGTTCTCACAAATTTTGGAAAAACGATACAGCGGGCTAATTGATTGATGTGCAAACATGCACTTACTGCATGAGTTACATAAGCTACACAACTGATTGCCTGTCACTTGACATGTTATTAACGTCATTCATATAGAAGAAGTTATTTACACTCACTGGCACCCATGGGCAGGGGTGGGATTAGTATGGTGCACCATTTCATAAATATTGCTCTTTTCTCATAGGTGATAAAGGTAATGTGAAGAGACGTTTCTGCTGAAATATGAAGGACTTGATTTAAAAAAACAAAAACTCCACTTCAGAGATTTATAGAAAATTGTAAATAGTTAAAAATATAGGATGCAAACATTTTGAGATAAACTATCTTTTCTAACAAACAGAATCTGCCACTCGTGACTTACTCCGAAGCAGAACATTAGCAAAAAAAAAAGGGTGGAATGTCTACTTGGAAAATTTGTTTTGAAAGTATGGAGTTCTATTGGTGTGTATTTTCTGTACACCCCCCAGGCAGTTGACAAATTTGTATTTTTCAACAAAAACATATTTGCAGTTCATTGTATTTTTCTACATTACCTTACGCAATGTTGATGAATGAATATGTATTAAAAGAGTTTGCAGCTAAGGACAACCTATTGAGCTTTCAACACACAACACATGCAAATGAGAAGATATATCAAGAGTCATTTTATAATGTGATGGGACTTTTTTAGTTCTGAAATTCCAATAGATTTTTTTTATTATATCAATGTATCATTTAAAAGGAAATCTGTTAAAAGAGAAACTTGGAGGTGATTACTGATCTAATAGTTGCCATGATGGTTCTCTTTTATCAATACTCAGTGACCCAGAAGAAGATTGCAGATAAGGAATTGTGATTCTGCTCTAAATTTCCTGATCTGTATACTCTTTCTGGAACGGTGACTCCGCAGGTATTATACCCAGAGGATCAGCTTAATAGCCAGGGAACTAGCTTTTCAGAGGGTCAACAATTACAGCCTCTTGTTTTCCTCATGCTAGGTTTACTTTAAAGAGACCCTTTTACCATTTCTGATATTTAATTTAAAGTGTATCTAAACACAAAACAGTTTTTTTTTCTCTTTAGCTTTGTGGGGAAGGGTTAGACTTTTCAGGTTTTTATTGCTGTGTGTGTACCCACTGGGAAGAGTCACCCTCTCTATGTGCCCTGGTGATCATTGCCGTCAGGGCTGAAAAGGAGGGAAAATCCTAAATTTGTAGTTGTCAGCAGAACAGTAATAGATGGGAAGTATTCTAATGGGGACATTTCATGCAGAGGCAACTAAGAGAGCATTTCCCCTTACCTTGGAAAGATCTTCTTTGGTTTCTTGTTGTATCTACAGGACAGGAGGTGGAGGAACATTTGCACAATGGGCCAGTGGTTTTTATCCCTTCACTACGCTATCCAAAATGTAATAAAAGGTTTAACTTTATATATACTTTTAAATGTTCTTTTACTAGATCAAAAATTGTACATTTGGTTTAAAAGAGAACTATGGGGTAAGTGTCTTTCATCCATAGTTCTCTTAAGGGTCACGGGAGGACATATGCTAACCTCTTCCCGTGACCCAAAGCTCAGTATATAGGGAACTATTGCCTGCGATATACCGAGAGCGCCACAGCGGGGACGGATCCCGACAATACTGTTGAGATCCACACAGCTGCGTGAGTGACAGCTGGCTCTGCCCATCTAGGGGCAGAGCCAGCTGGGCCCGCCCCCACCCCCCATTCGTTCCTACACTCAGCGCTGGAGGATCAAAGAAGGGAACCCTTGCGGGGAGCAGTGATTGACAGTCACCGCTCAGTACAGGGAGATGATTGGGAAGTGAGCGGACGGTTACATGATTCTGCTCACTTCACGATCAATAGAGTCAACCATGTGTCAGCTTCTTTGTCACAGGTCGTTCAAACTATGAGGATGAGTGGAAATCATTCACCTCATAGTTCTTCTTTAATTATGCATTTTGGAAGTGTCAGATCAGCTTCCCTCCGCCATCCCTCATGGATACTGACCATGGGAATACCTTACACACAGCTCTGAAGAGACTCAGTAGTTGACTCCTGTTGCAGTGTTGGTCATGGATCCCTACCAAGAACACTGAGAGTGGTAAAGGTTTGTAGATAGCTGTAAGTTTTGTGATCATTCAGCACTGACAGCTCTCTGGAGCTCTCATGATCACATAATGAGAGTGCTTTCTTTTCATCACTCTGATTGCACTTCCTGTGGTCAGTACGTAGTAGCTCAATACAGGGTGCTGTGCTGTAGTAGAGGCAGGGGTCGGCAGTAAGTAGGTTTTGACACCCCTAGAAGTATCGAATTCCTTTTAAGGATTAAAGCGGATTTAAAAACATTACAAGGATGTACTATTTTTGCTTTCGCAAAAGCATTTCTATGAAAACTGGCATACATGGTGACAGGGTATCTTTCAAATGAGTGTATACAGCCATGTAAATGACTGAAAATGATCTATCTAGTTCCAAAGGTTTGATTCATTATAGGTAAGGAAGACAAGTGTTTCTGGTGACCTTTGTTTAAAATTCTATTAATTAAGAGCTTACTATGTAATTGGCATCAAGGTTAACATTTTAAACAGTACATGCAATTTCTGAAGGTTTCACACTCCTAAAAAAGGTTTTTCTTCTGAATTAATTACTGGTTGTATCCAACATTCTTAGAACAAAAATGCTTTTGTTACTTTGTCTCTCTGATGTATGTAAAAATGAGCTTTGCCATAAAAGGTTTGACATTTTCTGGATATCCATCTTCAATGTTTTGAAAATTCTTTGGGTAAAACCAATTCAACTGCTTTCTCTTCAGGCAGCAAGTAAAGTCACATCCCTTGGCTCATCTCAGCACCAATATGGCTGGTTTGAAAGCATTCGAACCACTTTTGTAGTTCAGACTTGGTTCTCAAGGTTATGTTTTAGTTATACAACATCCATATTTTTGTGTATTAGAAAACGGAGGCTTGGAAAGCTAAAAACAGGTTAAAACCCAAACTTCAGCCTGAATACTTTTTTGTTGTTGATAGTTTTGAGTAGAGTGGTGAAGAATTAGGCCCCTTTCAGACAGCCAGTCTGGTCAGTTTTTCAGGAGGATCTGATCAGAAGCCCAATGTTACTCTATGGGCAGCTAGATCTAAACAGACGGACATTCGATTATCCCCAACTCCGTCTAGGTTCACTAAAGAAAAAAGGAACAGAGTTCCTTCTTGGCGGGCCTGATCGTAATGGATCAGAGGTAATCTGATGTGAATGGACACATGTCCACTTCCATCTGACTTCCCATAAACCTAACATGGGTCTACAACCTGGAGGAAAATACTGAATGGATACAGGTGTCACAAGAGTGACATCTGTTTTGTTTTGCTTGCACAGCAGGGGATTCATGCACGGATCCCCTGCTAATCAGAACTGACAGCGCCTGTGTGAATAGGGCCTTAGAATCTCTATCAGGTTTTTATTGCTGTCTGTGGCTTCACTTGGAAGATTTCTGCTTGCTGTGTGTCTCATTGACATTCGTACAAGAACTGGGAGGAATATGGGGATACAGGGAATGCATAAAAGGAGAGCAAACAAAAAAAAATGGATTCTAACCTTTCCTTGTACTCAAAAATTGTATTTTTGTTGCTGTCTCTGCCCCAATTGGAGACATTTCTTATCACTTTCTGTCCTCCAGACTGCCTATCCCAGGGACAGTTAGTCCCTGAAGTTAAAAAGGATCTCCTTAATGGAACCACAGATAGCAATAAAAACCCGAGAGACAGTCTAATCCTTCCCCATTGTATCAAAAATACAAAGACATTTTTTGGCTTGAGATGGGCTCAGATTCATATTTCCTGTGAAACAACATGTGGGAAGTCAAACTAGGGAAAAATAAAATAAAAAATGAAACCTTTGGATCATGCTAGTCTCTCATTCAGATATACACATCTCAGAAAGATAAGGATAATTGTGAATATTTTATATTATATATATATATATATATATATTGTTGTTGCAGATA